TCACCTATTTCACTTACGTTTTTACCCATTCGCCGCGGGTTTCCTCCCAGGCCTGCGGCGTCGCCGGTGACGGGGGATAGGAAATGAATAATGACAATGATATTTATTTATTTATTTATTTGCGCGCGAGTGCGCACGAATGTATGTATGTATGTGTGTGCGCGAGAGAATGAATGAATGAATGAATGAATGAGCGATGTACACGTATAAATCAACTGTTTCTCGCGGGCTTCGCTGACGGTTATATACCGTCGTTCTCCGGTGGGAGGGGGAATCTTATGCGCATAAATTCGGCGCACGTCTATGGAGCGCATTTTGCGGAGTTTAATTGCGTGTACGACGCGTGACCTACCGTTTACAAGGATTCGTACGTTGTTCTGCGGAAGTATTTGTACTATCTTGTGTGGTCCCGTATATTCGTCGTCGAACTTATTCCTACGAGGTTCTTTCAGAAGGAAAACCCTGTCCCCTACATCGAAAGTTTCCGTGTGGACCTTTCGGTCGTAGTATGTCTTGGATCGTTCTTTTGCCAATCCTAAATTTCCTCGTGCTCTGGAAGTGGTGTTGGTGAGTTTTGCTTGGAGGTCGGACAGGTAGGAATTATATGTTGGATCGGGAGTTTGCGTGAATGTGGAACTGGATGGGAGGCGGGCCAGTCGTCCGAACACCAATTCGTGGGGTGTGAAACGCGTACCCTCGTGGATGCTTGTATTGTACGAAAACATAGCCAGATCCAACCATTCGTCCCAATTGTTCCTTTGAACGTAGTGTTTCAGGTATTCCTTTAATACCTGATGTGATCGTTCTACCGAGCCGTTGCTTTGCAGGTGGAATGCGGTGGTGCGAAACTGTGTTATTTTAAAACGCACGCGATAGTCCTGATCAATGCGCTTGTGAAGTTTGTGCCTTAATCAGTTAAAATGGCTTTAGGCGCCCCGAATCGACAGATAAGGTTACTTATAATTGCGTCAGCTATGTCGAAGGAGGTCCCGGTTTTTAGGGGGACAGCTACTGAATATTTGGAAAGGAGGTCCTGCATCGTAAGGATGTAAATGTTCCTGGAAGGTGTGATTGGGAGAGGTCCGAGGATGTCCAATGCTACCTTGTCGAATGTATGTCCCGGTGTGTCCGTGATCGTCATTGGTTGTCGCGTTTTAACGCGGGTTAATTTGCGCAGTTGCCAGCTTCCGCAAGCGTTTATGTAAGTTTGTATGTCCGTTTTTAAGGTAGGCCAATAATAACGTTCCTGAATCCTGCTGTAGGTTTTTGAAATGCCTTTATGACCTCCGTAGGCTGAGACGTGGTTTTCCACTATTATGTCGTGTCTAGTGGGTTCTGTGGGTATTCGAACCTCGTGGGAGCACGTAAAAATTTGGGTGCGCGTTGAACTAAAGAGATCAAGTAATGCTTGCTGGATCGCGGACCAGGGAATGTCGTCGATAGAGGTTCGTGATATACTAAAAGTAGGTAGATCGAGTTCCGTTATTACGTTGTATAGTGATCTGAGTGTTCCTACCAAGTCGTCGGGAGAAGTAATGTGATCGCGTGTTTGCTTGACGGGTAAGATTATCAGCTGATGTGTTCCGATAGTTGACAGTTTTGCGCGTCCAATTACGGCGACGCGGGGTACGTGGAGTTTATCTTGCGTTGCTATGTCTACTGCTCCGTTATCGATGGGTTGACCGTCTAAAGATACGAAGCAGGCTAAGTTATCTTTCCTCATTACGAGCCTATCTCGGGTTGTTATTATCGTTCGTTTACGTATGGCAGTGTTTTGTGTCGGAATGTCGTCGGTATCGTGTTCGTCTGTTGTGCTTTGCCTGCGGACCGGGCTGGGAGCAGGATCAGGTTTCTGTTGTGTAGGTGGGGAATGCTTTTTTGTGGAGCCGCGGGAAGTCGACGGCGAAGGTGAGTTATTTTGCGTTGCCTTGAAGAGTGAGGGGTCGGAGGAATCGGAGTGGACGGGGAGCACGGGAGCCGGATTTCTGGAGAGTGCATTGGCGTTGAGATTAGCTTTCCCGGGTTTATAAATAACCTTGTATTCGTACTCCGCGAGTTTGAGGCGCCATCGAAGGAGTCCTTGAGAGATGTTGGGTCCTTGACAGACGTAACCCACACGAGGGGGCGGTGGTCTGTGATTAGATTAAACGGTTTACCGTAGATGTATGATCGAAAGTGTTGCACCGCATAGACTATCGCGAGGCATTCCTTCTCGATGGTGGAGTAGTTTATTTCTGCCCCTTGTAACAATCTGGAAGCATAGGCAATGGGCCTATCCTTCCCGATTTCGTCCTGGCTCAGTATAGCCCCGATCGCGTACGCGGACACGTCTGTAGTGATGTGGAAAGGTTGCGCAAAATCTGGATATTGTAGGACTGGCTCTGTTAAGAGCGCTTCACGGAGCGTGCAGAAGGCGCGCTCTTGGTCTTTACCCCACGTAAATTTAGTGTCCTTCCGTAGGAGGGATGTTAGAGGTTTTGATATTTGGGAGAATTTATCGATGAATCTACGATAGTATCCCGCTAAGCCAAGGAACTCCCTTACATTTTTCGCTGATTTAGGCGTTGGGAAATCCTTGACGGCGGAAACCTTTTGTGGACAGGGCTTGACGCCTTCTTCTGATATGACGTGGCCGAGATATGCCACTTCTTTGTGGACGAAACCGCATTTTGAGGGTTGGAGTTTAAGGTTCGCGTCGCGCAACCTTGCAGCTAATTTATTGAATTTAATTTGATGCTCTTGTAGTGAGCTTGCGTAAATAACTATATCGTCCAAGTACACGAAAAGTTCGGTACCTTGGAGCCCCATTAGCACAGTGTCCATCGGGCGCTGGAAGGTTGCGGGAGCGTTCCTCAAACTGAACGGCATGCGCGTGTACTCATAGTGGCCGTATGGGGTGGAAAAGGCCGTTTTCTCGGCGTCCCTCTTCTCCATTCCAATCTGGTGAAACCCGCTGGCCAGATCAAAGACGCTAAAATACTTGGCGCTTCCAAGTTGATCGAGTATTTCGTTTATGCTGGGCAGTGGATAGGCGTCAGATACGGATTTTTGGTTCAACCCGCGGTAATCTATAACCATCCGCCACTGTTTTTGTCCCTGTTTGTCGGCCTTTTTTGGAGCTATCCACAAGGGCGAATTGTAGGGTGATGTTGAAGGTCGGACAATGTCCAATAATTCCTTCATTTGCCTATTTATTTCGATCTTGTGGATTGCAGGGTATCGATATTGCTTTACATTTATTGGGGTCGGATCTGATGTTACAATTTTGTGTGTTACGATCCCTGTTCTGGTCAGCGAGTCACCTGGCAGGTGAAAAATATCGTAATTTTGCGATATTAGCTCGCGGGTGTGTTCTAGTTCCCCTTGGTTGAGGTGCTCCGTGTCAATCAGTTTAAGGGGGCAGGACAGTTTGACGAGTCTAAAAATGACTAATAACTTGGAGGAACAATAAAAAGAAAAGTACATGTTTGATTGACATAAGTTTTTGTGGTTTATTTTAGCACATTACGAAGAACATGAAACAACATTAAAAAAAGGCTCTTATTTAAATTTCCGACGGTATCCTTTTACATAACTTTTTTTTAAATTGCCTATCGGTGTACATGATTCCAGCCGAACAGGATTAGCTGCAACAAAAAATCAAAAAAAGTTTAAAAGTACACAGTATTCTCTACGCATTGACGATCTAACATTTCCATTTTTGTGAAAATTATGAAAAAAGAAAAACGATTTTTTCAAAATTTCAAACTGTCCTACCCCCTTAAGAATTTCGTCGATTCTCCCTAATGGAGTTCGAGACTGAATAGCGTTTACGCGAGATTCAGCGTTTGAAGTAGGAGCGTTACGAATTTCGTCGATTTCTAATATTTGGATCGAGGGAATGGAGAAGGCGACAGCCTCAGAGGACGTGTTTACACATTGAATATACGAAATACCGTTGTTTTGTTTTACAAGGCAGTCAAGCGTCGTGACGCCTGGAGCGAGGGTGAGGCGCGGCACGTATCCGATGATCGGACCGGTAGCTTTTACTGGGATACAGGTCACGGATCGCGCCTCCACACATACCTCCTCGGTTTGATTTTTATTAAAGAAAGGAATCGCTATGTCGTTCCAAATTACACTGTTTTCCGTGTACGATATCGTTGCTTGACCTCTCAGAAAGGTGGAGCCCAGGATTCCCTCCACATTTATGGGGAACGAATCCGGGACTACATGAACCTTGAGGGGTGTGTTGTAGAGAGTGAGGTAAGCGGACCCCAAGG